GTATATAAATAATATTATATATATAAATATAATATGTTGTTATAATGAAGTCAGTTTTTATAGCTTTACCTAAAACACAGGTGTCACTGAGTGTGATATGCTTAGAACAATTAGCCTTATGAGTCATATTACAAAAATATTGCTGCGAATAATAATGGGAAGATTGAGAAAGAGTGTAAGACCAGAGATATCTAACACGCAATTCTGCTTTGTTCCTGACAAGGGCATCAGAAACGTTATATTCATCTTAACAATATTAATGGAAAGATCAGGCGCGGTTCGTCCATTGAGCACGGTCGTGCAGTGCCGCCCAAAATTTTAATGTTCTATTACGTAAAACACCTACAATAACAAAATAAAAGACGCCAGAAACAAACAGTAGCCAAATATTATATTAAAATACGTTTCTCACTGGCTCCGTAACTGTCATTTCTGTGTCTGTAGCGCCGTAAAACATCTACTATGCCATGCCAAAGTTCATGCGCTGTATCTATGCATAGCAGGATATATTCAACAGTGGAAACCTGACCTATAAATCGCTCTCTGGGATAACCCAAGCGATGACGACACTCGTAGCGAGTTTGGCGCTACATTAATATTAATAAGACGGCACATCTCAAATGAGCTCCAGCCGAATAGTGCCGAAACATAGCCCACAGTAGGCAATCTAAGAATAAACGCGATAGACGGTGCACTATTCTATGCCAAAATTATGTCAGCCCCGGAGCAATCCAGCGGAGTGCTCAAGTGAATTGTGATTGATTCATTGTCTTGCCGCTATTTTAAGTGACTCTGTGACCGTGAACCTGAGGGAAGTGAACGTGACACACTTAAGTCATCGTCCTATGAGTTGTGCTTTTGAACGGTTTTGTAGTGGAGTGGTGAAAGGTATTACGTGAGTGTTCAGTTCTAAAGCAGGATGAATGAAATTGACGTTTAGCTAACAAACAGATTTAGTTTTAGAAGTCAAAGCCACAAGTAAAAAGAATGAAAATAGAATCACAAGGTTCTCCCTCACCAAACCAAAGATCCTAAAATTATACACCATCTCATTTACTATACCCTTGACTATCTTCAACCTAAGATAGCTTAATTGTGCACGCCCACTTTTTAGACCCACGAGCCGCCCCTGGGAAAGATGTTTTGAAGTACAGAAAGATCTTTATTTTTCATAGATTATTCAAAGGCGTTCGATAAAGTTAGACATGATTAGCTATTTAAAATACTGAAAAGCTAGACTACATAGATGGAAAAGATCTAAGACTTAGCAGACATTTGTATACTGGGACCGGCTGTACGAATTAATGGAGAATATACACAGTGAATATAAGCAGATTAGGCGGGGAGTGAGGCAAGGATGTGTTACCAGACCTCTTTAACATATGATCTATATGGATGTGAATGACAGACAATCACTAAAGACAGTGAAAATAAAATAGAGCAACAGAAATGTGGTTTCTTAGGAGACTGCTAAGAGTATCGTGGAAGGAAAAGAAATCAAATGAGCGGTAGTGCTTGATGAAGCCCACGTGGAACGCTCAATGTTAAAAACAATCAGGTTAAACGACAAATGCAGTTTTTGGGACACTTGAATAGACATAAGGGTCTTGAACATCTAGCTCTCACTGGCAAAATTGAGGGCAAGCGAGGCAGGGGTAGGCCCAGAACAACATACTTAGGGAACCTAAACAAATGGATAACAGGGAAAGATCAGGGAAACGTAGCTTTTTTTAGAGCATCCACGCAAGGGAATGAATGGAGAACCATGATCGCCGATGTCTTGCAGCAGATCTGGCACTGGATGATGATGATATGTTGTGTGTGTATGTGTGAGTGTGTGCATATAGATCTACAACAGAACAACAGAATCAGTGATTCCTCTCCATATTTAAAAAGTGATGTGTTACTCCTGGATTGCAATGCGAATTTTTCTTAATCGTATTCTGTAATTAGAGAGTCTGTTCAGTCTCGGTTATTAGACTGATTTTACAACTACAGAAACGCAAAGCATTCCGTGCGGCATTACCTCATGGCGTGGTTGCCAAGCGCGACGTATACGTAAATATTTGGCGTCTGGGAAGGTAGTTTCCTCGTTGGAAAAGGATTGAAGGCTAAATTTTGAGCCAGTTCGATCCTAAGTCAGAGAAATGGCTGCAGTATTACCACCAAAACAGGAAGGAACGTACACCTTCGCCAGTCAACCAAGAGCTGTCCCACAACGTAAAAAATACAGAGAAACCGTTGCACAAAACCCGTGAGTGAACGTGCTAGATCCTTTCCATTAATGACATTAGTAAGCGATTTAACCACTATTTCTAACAAGATTATAGACTATAGGTTTTCTTTAACTAGTTAAACCTGTCTTTGGTCTATAATTTCCCTAACAAACATGTTCTCTCTTTGCTCGAGCTTTATTCTGCGGCCTGAGAGTAAAGAGTAAAGATCTGGTGATCCGGTATCACAAGTAATCGAAAAATGCTGCAGAAATCTAGATCTAGACTCTAGATCTAGAAGAAAGTAGGACTATCTCAAAAAGTCACCCAGAATTCCAAAGCATAAGGTTCTTACAGTTGCCAGGCCACCCTTATTAATCCCCTCCTAAGGTACATAAGTTTATACTTTTTTCTTTAGTTTTAGAGGCGTATAAGTATATGCTTTAAAATCTACACTGTGACATCTTTTTATCTGAAAAGTGAATTTTAAACCTGCTTTTGCCTATTTTAATGTATGTGTTACCATTCACAACCTTTGCCTTTGAAAGGTTATCAGATCCGTTTTCATTTTCACTAATCAGAATATCAAGATGTGTATTTGAAACATAGCGTCAGAGTAATAATTTTAATGTTTTTGCTTTTTCATAGATCTATATCATAGATCTACAGTTAGGATGTTTTCAAAGACCTGTTTCGAATAAAATGCAAGACCTTATTTTTGTTGTGTCTGAACTTTTGTTATTTTTCCTACTAGTAGTTTAAGAGTGAATAAAACCCCTTTATCCAGTGTTGCAGTAAAAATCCCAGCCGACTGATTTGGTTGCATGAGTGGCATAATATAGATCTATATAGGTATCTTATTTTACTTTAAATTTCCGGTGTCGAACTTTACTTGTTGAGTATTTTGTGAGTTTTACAAAGGCAAATAGAAATAAATGAGGTGGAGGAAACTGTACTTGAAGTCAGATGAATGGGTTTATGGAATGTCAGGATTTTATATGTTTCTTGGAATAAGCATTTTGCCTCTGTTGTTTTTATTATGCAGGCGTGATTGTTTTTGTGGGTAAGTGCTGTTTTGGAACTGTTCAGGCTCTTGAAAAGGGTCCATAAGATTTGTTGTTCTTTGGACATGCTTGTGGCAGTTATGGAGATTGGAAAAATTTACTCTTGTTGTATAATTGTGGACAGAAATTATAATTTAATTGTTTTGTAGAGCTGTCATTTTGCAATATCGGCTGCTTTTGAACTTTCCCTTACCATGAATATTTTGACATTTTAATTGTTTGTTAGTTTTTTTTGTTTAACTTTTTATTCTTTTATTTTTTACCGGCATTGGATTTTTTAGCGGAGCTGCTAAAAGTATTTGTGAAGTTGCATTTGGATCTTCAGAATGTTATGACGTTCTGTTTTCATTTACTCTTCGTGTCCTTCATCACATGAGTCTCTGTTCTCTTTTTTCACAGTTTTTGTTTTAAAAGTGCGAGTTCATTACTGCTTAATTTGGCAAATTCTAAAGTTGTCTTTTTTATTATGACAATTTTTTGTATTCAGTAGGTGCGAGGTAACTGAAGGCTCAGGGCATCAGGGTTCAAACGGTCAATTTGTCTACTAAAGAGCCCCTGTTGAAAATTGTATTAGAAGAAGAAGATGAAAAGTTTTAAATTCTAAAGAGCATACACAATTTGAAAAATGTATTTTGCTACTTTGGTAGTTCAGCAAGCACTAAACTCAAGCTGTATTTTAGTCTTGGAGAGACCATAAGAAACTTTAAGATACCCGATGGTAGAAACCCAAGTTTTATTTTGTCAATTTTTGTGCTCATAATGATGAAAATGTCTCAACACGAGCAAACCGTAGTTAAATGTCCTTCGCCTTACTTAGAGAAAGATTTAACACAACAATGTTGATGCCTCTCCTGATTGTATTTAATCTGTACATCAGATTTTGTCAGACATTTCGTAGCAGAAGCATTGAAATGAAGACAGACTTTTCCAGCTCATCAATTTATTTACTATTTTCTTCAGTACATTATCATTTTGCTTTATTTTTTTTTTGTGCTGCCTCCTGTTTATTAAATACTTATGCTTGGTCTTTCACTTCTTTTTCAGAGATGGCCCCATTCAATATGGAAACATTATGTATGACAGGAGGGTGGTCCGTGGAAACACCTATGCCCAGCACACTCTTCCAGCGGTAAACCTTGGCAATATATTTAGTAAATAAAGTTGCACTTTAGGAAAATATAGAAGGGAATTGTGCACCATGTTATTTGCTACTTGCTTGGTTTAAAGAGTGTTCCTCTTTGATTTTTCTGTTTAAAGAAAGATGCTCTTGGTGTTCATGTTTGTATTTTTTTAAAAAGAAAAAAGAATTTTGCTGTATGATCAACCACAAACTCTTTTTATCACCCTCCTTTTTTTTTCTTCTTTAGCCTAATTTTGTCCCTTATCTTAACCACATACATGCACATGTATGGATGTACGCACACAAACACACACACACATACACACACACACACACACACACACACACACACACACATATACTCTTATGTGTTAACTCAGCCAAAAAATAGTATTTTATAATTTTAAAGACATATTTTTATAGTAATTACCTCCTTTGTTGATATTAGGAATAACAAAAAGAAGACTAATAAATTAATTTTGTTTCATTTTTTAAATGAAATTTATTGACTTTTCGTTTTCAGACAGCACAACCAGATCCAATCGAAATTCAGAGACAGCAGGAAAATCGTCGACGTGCTATTGCAAGGAAACGAGCGAAAGACCAGCTGAGACCTCGCTCCCCGGACCCCGTGGAAGGAAGGAAACACATTGATGTTCAGACAGAACTTTACCTGGAAGAGCTGAGTGATCGTGTGGAGGAGGCAGATCAGGAATGCCAGACAGATGCCTTTTTGGATCGCCCCCCTTCCCCCTTATTCATACCAGCCAAAACAGGCTTGGATGTGGCAACACAGATTTATGAGGGCGATGTAAGTTTGTAAAAATCCCCTTAAAAAAAATTTTGCTTTACATAAAAATCTGTGGAAAGAAATCATTTTATGTTTATTTTAACAATCTCCTGTTTTGTGAGTGGATAGGATGTTTTTAGAATATGACAGTGCATACAGAGTCTGATTTTTATAAGTACTCATAATCAAGTATGCACACATTCTAATACGCTTTCCTAATTAGGATTATGTCCTGTTTTATTTCATGGTTTTCTTCCTTTCATGTATCTCCTTGTTTGCTAGTCCACAATTTAAAATTTGGTACTAAACAGAATAAAAATGAAAGTTAAAGTATGTACAAGCAAGTATTTCCTAAACTTTCAAAATAATGTGAGATTACTTTTTTTATGCTATTCAAAAGGTTTCAGTGCATATTCTGATATTATTTATGTTTGATTATGAATGTTTCTCTGACTTAATGACTAACAAAGCTGCTATGCTTATTTCTAAACTTCAAAGAAAAAGATTTGAATGTTTTTTTCTTTTAAGATAAGATAAGATACATCTTTATTGTCCAGATCTTGGCACATTAGTTTGGTGTTTCACCACGTACACACACACACACACACACACACACACACACATCTGCTCACCCGCAAACACACACACACACACACACACACAC